TCACTGGAATTGCCCTTATATATGATGTAAATATATTTTTTTATTCGGCTGTTCTGAAATGTGACGTGTCAGACAACACTTTTTTTCTTCTTTTTCTGATTTACACCGACAGACAGGTTCTTGTGATAAACGACTCCAGAAGTCAAAACTCTCATTAAGAGAAAATCATAAACAGACTGGAAAAACAACACTGGTTATGACTACGGAAAAGATTTTCTGAGGCACTTGAACAGAACAGACCAAGTCACAGTTTTTCGCTTACGCACTGGACACTGCAGACTCAATAAACACTCATATAAATTAGGTATGAGCCAAACAGCTCTCTGCCAGTGTCTTCGTGCTGAACAGACTCCAGAACATGTCCTGCAAGACTGTCCTCTCCTGGCGGAGCTGCGGAGCGACATATGGCAACACCCAGTAGAACTGACAACTAAGCTTTGGGGAAACCTAAGAGACCTTGAAAAGACATCCCATTTTATGACCCACAGTGGATTATGCGCATGACCAGAGATCGCTGAAGAAGAAGAAGTGATAAACGACTGTTTTTATGAGTTCCTTTTTAGTCCCATTCAACTTTGCCTGCAGTGGTGACTCACTGGGCCAGTATTCCCTTCTTAATGGGCTGAACAAGGGACATTCTTGCAGGACATGTTCTGTAGTTTGCACACATAGCCCACAAGGGCACAAAGGTGAACTACTTAGATGAAGCCTGGGCATTTGCTGGTTAAGTTTGTTATGTCCTGTCCTGAGACGTAGGATAATGACCTGCCCATGCCGGTCAAGTAAGTGGTAGTCATCTCTGGCCAGACTCTGTTCACTTCTAATAGTCTGGATGGCCCTTTTCTTCTCATAGTATGTTACTGCATTCTCTTCCTGGTAAATGATCATAAAATCCAAAGTATTTAGAATAATTGTTTCAAATAAAGACTAGCTGATGCATAATTGAACAGAGAAGGCATGTGAATTCTTAAGAATTGTTTTTGATCTAGTAAAAAAGTGAGGTAAACACATTTCACATCTGAGAAAAATTCCTGTGCATCTAACATTATCTATTATGGTGTGATTTTAATATATTATTGTACTAATCCGTAAATAGTTTACATGCATTCTGAATTCATTTCTCGTTAATTTGATGTATTTTGTGGCACTATACAGCCAGTACTTTTACAACAGGACAGTTTTAGTTTTGTATTGTTGCTGGAAAAAAAATTCCGCTCAAAATTAATGCTGTCCAAACCTCAGAAAAAAAATGTGGTCCTGAAAGAGTTGAAACCAGTATTGTTGCTACCTATGTTATCTGTATACCAAACAATAATATGTTTTTTATACGTAACTATAAAAACCAGAGTTGCTGATACCCACGTCAATGAAATTGTGCTTTATATAATGAAAAAAATTACTACAATGAAAATTTTGTTTCAATAAATATGTAAATAAACTATTATGTGTCTTCTGATTATGTGTCATTGTTAAACAGAAAATCAGGTTGGAGAGGCACAGCACATAACAGGGTCAACACACTCATACACTTTCAAACCTAACGCAACATAAAAAAAAAAAACAGGTCCAGGGCAGCAGGCTGATGGGGCTAAACGGAGATAAAGGACGCAGGGGTCCGTGCTCAGGCTAAATGGAGCTGACTGGAGGCTCCAGTAGACTTAAATTGCACCTCTCCAACTACTCGGGACTTCCCCATAAGCGCGCTGTCCCCCTCTATAGCAACAAGCAACGAGTTAAAATTGTGATGATACCGGTAATTGATTGTATATCTGTCTCGCCCTCCCCTTGAGCCAGATCGCCTGGTAACTCCTCGCAGCACCATTCTCCTCAGACCGTAATGATCTATCGGTGTCTCTGCACTGTTCACTCGCTACCAAAAGGCCCTTACAACATTCAGCTTGTCATACATAAGTTCACCACCAAGTGGTGTAGAACCGACCAGACTATCTGCCCGCTCATTTCCCAGCACACTGGCATAACCTGCTGAAAATATCCAGGGGATGCCAACTACCCGGGACCTTAGAAGTGATGCTTGCCACTCTGCACGGAGCATGTATGTCTCCATCTTTCTCAACATGCTTTGTGAGTCAGTTACAATGTTGGCAACCAGTTCTCTTCGTGAGTCAATTTCTTTCAAGGCGTCTTCATTACTCTATTTATCTGTCCATGATACTCTCATCATTCGTAAAAACCACATCACCGCAGCTTCTAGTAGGTTTTCACTAATTTACTGTCCATGATTAACTTCCGTATATCAATATAGAATTTATATAATTTTTAAGAATTATCTTTCTCATCTCAATTGACAAAGAAATATTGCTTAAAATATTTTTCATTTGGTAAAATGCTGCCTTTGCTTTAGCTACTCGACATTTAACTTCTTTAATACGCCTTCCAACTGATGTTATCAGGGTACCCAAGTATTTAAACATATCAACTTGCTTAAGGTTTGTCCCATTTACTTTGATATTGCAATTTGAAGGGTCAGTTGTCTTTGTAATTATCATTACGTCTGTTTTTCTGCTGTTGAAACCAAGATCTTGTTTACGCTTTAAATTATAATATAATTTATATCCATCATTTGTTGTAGTTGTGTCTCATTTTCAACGATCAAAACTTATATCGTCAGCATATCGCTGGTCGTTAACAATATGCCCGACAACCGATATTCCTGGCATACCATGTATGGATCTAATTATTAATTCACTGTACCACCTGAATAAATCGGGTGGTGTGCACATCCCAGTCTTTAGTATAAGCATTGTTTAATGTTTTGAAAAGTTCCAACTTGATTGGCAATTTTTATGACTGCTTCATACGCCAGCATTATGTTAAATTATTCATAAGTTTATTTAGCACCATAGAATCATCAGGAGGACGTGATCAGCGCAGTCACCAGACCTTTCTACAACTTAACACCTCAAGTATGTCCTTGGTCAAAGATTGTCAGCAAGACACCCCGCCAATGACCCATCCACGATTTTTATTTTTTATTTTTAGTATGCTGTCTTTTCTCATATTACTTTCAATGTGTAGCGAGTTTCCTGTATTAGCGTTGATTATGAGGTAGGTTCCTGCTTAACTGAAAAATCGAGAAGGTAGCGCTGTCCTACACGCTGCATCTCTTGTACACCCAAGTACACGTACAGCACGCATAGCATTATTCTGTCCTTTACAACTGCGTATGGCTGAGAGTCAGCATCGCCATCGCAAGTAGTTTGTCAGCGAGGAAACGGCATGGGACCTTGGTCCTAGTTGGGACCGATCACTGATGTTTCTGAAAAGCCATGGTGTTATCACCCCTCCCTCACCGCCACCACACAAAGTTCGAATTTTCTTTCTTTTGAAACGACAGATAACCGTTGTAGCAGAAGATGCGATGGTTTCAGGAGCGGGGTGATTCCCTTTAGTTTTAGGCGTGTCCCGTCTTGTTTTAGGTGTATCTATAACCAAATCTATCTTGTTCTTTTGTTTCCTGTGGAGGTACCCAGGGGCTTCCCTTTTCAAGCTTATATTCATATAAGAAACATACTGCTGCTAGGTGAGAGGGTGTGTATGCCCGTCTGTATATCTTCTGTATGCCGGGGTGAACCTCCGCTTTCCTCTGTTATTTTGATGATTCCATCAGTGGCATCCCTGTGGTGTGTGTATATATGTGTGGGCTCCTCTCTGCCATCATCAAGTTTTCCTTGTCGACTAGTAAGGGTGCCCATGGGGCTACCCTTTTCATGCTTAAATTAATAGAAGATGCATACAGTCCAGACACCTAAGGCCAGGAGTCAGATGAGGTTCTTGTGAGGTGGCTCTCAGGTCATCTATAAACGTATCGTGATGGGCACTGCTAGCAGCTCTCAGGTCATCTATAACGTACCGTGATGGGCACTGCTGGCAGCTCTCGTGTCATGTATAAACGTATCGTGATGGGCACTGCTGGCAGCTCTCATGTCATGTATAAACGTACCGTGATGGGCACTGCTGGCAGCTCTCATGTCATGTATAAACGTACCGTGATGGGCACTGCTGGCAGCTCTCAGGTCATCTATAAACGTAGAGTGATGGGCACTGCTGGCAGCTCTCAGGTCATCTATAAACGTATCACGATGGGCACTGCTGGGAGCTCTCATGTCATGTATAAACGTAGAGTGATGGGCACTGCTAGCAGCTCTCATGTCATGTATAAACGTAGAGTGATGGGCACTGCTGGCAGCTCTCATGTCATGTATAAACGTAGAGTGATGGGCACTGCTGGCAGCTCTCAGGTCATCTATAAACGTATCACGATGGGCACTGCTGGGAGCTCTCATGTCATGTATAAACGTAGAGTGATGGGCACTGCTAGCAGCTCTCATGTCATGTATAAACGTAGAGTGATGGGCACTGCTGGCAGCTCTCATGTCATGTATAAACGTAGAGTGATGGGCACTGCTGGGAGCTCTCATGTCATGTATAAACGTAGAGTGATGGGCACTGCTAGCAGCTCTCATGTCATGTATAAACGTAGAGTGATGGGCACTGCTAGCAGCTCTCGGGTCATGTATAAACGTAGAGTGATGGGCACTGCTGGCAGCTCTCATGTCATGTATAAACGTAGAGTGATGGGCACTGCTGGCAGCTCTCATGTCATGTATAAACGTAGAGTGATGGGCACTGCTGGCAGCTCTCATGTCATGTATAAACGTAGAGTGATGGGCACTGCTAGCAGCTCTCATGTCATGTATAAACGTAGAGTGATGGGCACTGCTGGCAGCTCTCATGTCATGTATAAACGTAGAGTGATGGGCACTGCTGGCAGCTCTCATGTCATGTATAAACGTAGAGTGATGGGCACTGCTAGCAGCTCTCATGTCATGTATAAACGTAGAGTGATGGGCACTGCTAGCAGCTCTCATGTCATGTATAAACGTAGAGTGATGGGCACTGCTGGCAGCTCTCATGTCATGTATAAACGTAGAGTGATGGGCACTGCTGGCAGCTCTCATGTCATGTATAAACGTAGAGTGATGGGCACTGCTGGCAGCTCTCATGTCATGTATAAACGTAGAGTGATGGGCACTGCTAGCAGCTCTCATGTCATGTATAAACGTAGAGTGATGGGCACTGCTAGCAGCTCTCATGTCATGTATAAACGTATCACGATGGGCACTGCTAGCAGCTCTCATGTCATGTATAAACGTAGAGTGATGGGCACTGCTAGCAGCTCTCAGGTCATCTATAAACGTATCACGATGGGCACTGCTAGCAGCTCTCATGTCATGTATAAACGTAGAGTGATGGGCACTGCTAGCAGCTCTCATGTCATGTATAAACGTAGAGTGATGGGCACTGCTAGCAGCTCTCATGTCATGTATAAAAGTGGCTAGGAGAGGGGCCCGCTTAGGTGGCACAGCGTAGACATGAAGAGTGACAATATAACTTGTACACGCACGAAGTGTAACTTTTGCAAACGCAGTGAAACTTCTCCGTGTCATTAAAGATTATTCCTAACGGGTCTAGCAGAATGAGCGGATCAGATTTAACGTTACGGGCAAATTCATACTGGGGAGGGGGTTTGTAATCAAACATCATAATCAACAGCAGCAAGTTTCATGCCGATAGGTGATGGTGTAATGGCTGAACTGTAGTTATGGCAGTATACAGCTAGCCCGCGATATGGGAGTTAAGTGGCTCCGGGGATGGTCAAGCATCATCATCATGTACTCATAGGGTCTCGACTTATTAGCTAGAGTGTATTTTTTAGTAAGTATACTGTTGTTGTAAATATGGTAGTTATTAGGTAACATTAAACAATTTAAAAACTCCAAAAATAAAATTATGTCAATTTTACACTAAGTCGTACAAGATACAACTAGATGTAGAGACATACAATATCAATATTAGTTACGGACACCTGTTCACCGCCAACAGTTAAACCGTATTTGTATAAATAAATAAAAATAAAAACATTTACCAGATATGGTCAAACCGGTACTGAGGGAGATTATTTGGTGCTACGGGAAATGACAATCCATGTGTGACAACATGCCCTGTGTCATCTTTAAAAAAAAAGGTCTTCCTGATATGGAGCAATGGCTCTGGGATAGGCGACGGTTTGTTGTTCTAGACGATTTGATGTCCGATACAAATGACAGTCACTAAGTTGTTTACTAAAGGCTATCACCATCGCAACATCCCCGTTTTTTTTTTACATTGTAATAAACTTGTTTGGGAATAAGAAAGAACATTCAGTCACATTTGCCACCGTAAATAAGAGATTGTTGGGGGGAAAATCTAAATCCTCCGAGCGGCAACCATTGAGACATAGAAGGAAAAATCGAGCTGCGAGGATCTGCAACCTATCTTCTGCATGATATATTACTGACCAACCATCACTCGATATGCATTCGGTCAATAGTACGCAGGCCACGTTGAAGTCCCACGACACTCTCATAGAAACCTTTGTAGGCAGGGTTGACTTGTAAGCCACGATCATTTATTAAGAAAATTCGCCTTGATAAAGATTCAAATCCACATCCTTCAAATTAGTAGGCGGGTGCCTAGCAAACGCAGCACTACGGCTCTAAAATAAAAGATGACAGTTATGGAATTGAATCATGAACATTCAGTAGAGGAGTGACAGATTCAGTGCAGGTTGCTGGTTTTTTAGAAGAGTGATGAGAGCACAACGGACTGGTAAACAAACTTAATGCGTAATGTCGTGAAATAAATTAACTCGGAGAGGAGTTGGGGGTGGGGTGGGGGTGGGGAGAGAAAGCGAAAAAGAAAGAGGGAGGAGAGGAACAGAGACATTAATACGAGAGAGCGAGTGAGGAGATAGACTGAGAGAGGAGAGAGCGACAAAAAGAGAAAAAAAAAACACACATAGATATAGAGATAGATAGATAGATAGAGAGAGAGAGAGAGAGAGCGAGAGAGAGAGAGAGAGAGAGAGAGAGAGAGAGAGAGAGAGAGAGAGAGAGAGAGAGAGAGAGAGAAATGGTTCAAAATTACAGGTTACGTTTGTGCTCGTGTCTCAGCTAACCCATGCAGGTATTCACTTCTTTGTCTTCCCGTTGCACATTAAGTTGCAAGCTGTTATTTTGCCGTTGCACATTAAGTTGCAAGCTGTTATCAAGCTTCTCCAGCTTTTTCCTTCTCGCAATATGTTACTTCTGTCCACGTCGTATTGATCTAATCGGTCTCTTGGGGGCTATCTCTTTTATGTAATTTTGCACCCCCCCCCCTACTCCCCAATATTTTCTGTAGTGTGGCATTGGGGGAAAAGTGGGGGAAAAAAAGTGGTGGGTGTGTCTGTTAGTAGCCTATTGCCCCGTGTTCTCTCAATTATTACTGACGTAGATAATCGTCAATGCCATGTTGACAGAATTATAATTGTCTCTGGTGGTCTTTCTATGCACCTTTTTTGTTGTTGATTTTTTTTATATCTATAAACCATGAGACCTGGGGTAGGAGCCTGTCCTATCCCAGGACAGGCAAAAACTGCATTTTATAAAATAAAAAAAACATCTTGTGCAATATATCTTTGTCATTGAGAGTTAGAAAAAGAATTCTTGCTTGCTACATACATCCAGTTTTAACATTTGGCTGTGAATCCTGGACAATCGGTAGGCAGGCCGAAACAATTTCTTAAGGCCTCAGAGATGTGGTTTTACAGAAGAATGCGTAGAATACCTTGGACAGCCAAAAAGAGCAGCTAAGATGTTTCGAAAGAGTCGGGAGCCTGAAGACAACTTATCACAGACATCAAAAGGAAACAGTCATCATTTTTCGGCCATGTTATGAGAAAAAGGAAAATAGAACATGTTGTGACCACTGGAAAGATCTGTGGAAAGAGGGATAGAGGAAGACAACGAGAGAAGATTCTTGACAGTCTTGTTGCATGGCATGCAGGTGTGTCAGCACACGAACTGATACATGCTGCAGGAGATCGTGGCTTATGGAGATACATGATCGCCCACGTCAGTCAGCAAGGCACCTGATGATGATGAAACCATGAGTTGTAAACCCTTTAGCTCGTTACTATGGATATCGCAACCCTTCGGCCTAGATTCCAAGATAGATACCGTAAATCAGGGAGAAATGTAGCTTTTCTGCTTACCCCCGGGCGTGAACTCGGACCACAAGGAATTCGTCACCCGGTCGCCGCGCAGTTAGGTTTAATCAACTTAGCTAGCCAGCCGAAGACACTTACAATTTGAACAATTCCGAAGCGGTGCACCGGAAGTACACTAGTAGTATTATGGCGACCACGTATCCGTTCGCAACAAGTCTCGAGTCTTTGGAAAGATCACCATTTTAAAAACTGTGTGATATTCATTAACCGACAAGTGTTAAAACAGATTTCAAATTCAGCTATATTTATACAAGCAGATACAAATATGCAATATGTGCAACATCATTATTTAGTGTAATCAATAATAGCAGTATTTTGGTAAAGTGTCAAAAAATGACGTCTTCAGCTTCGCTGCCGAGATAGATGAATTTAGTGGCTTAAAGATTGGGTTGAGTTTCAAGAACCAGCATCACAGCACTCTAAATTCCCGTAATTGTTCTGTCTCCATCTTCAGCAGCCAGCGAAGAGTTCCAACTCCATTGTGTACCGATGATAGCAGTCTAATTGTTTGTCAATCTTACCTTTTCACTGAGTATTGATTATCTATCAGACCCCCAGAGTTTTGAGCATCGATCAGACCCCCTGAGTGTTGATCATCTATCTATCAGATCCCCTAAGTGTTGATCATCTATCAGACCCCCTGAGTGTAGATCATCTATCAGACCCCCTGAGTGTTGATCATCTATCAGACCCCCTGAGTGTTGATCATCTATCAGATCCCCTAAGTGTTGATCATCTATCAGACCCCCTGAGTGTTGATCATCTATCAGACCCCCTGAGTGTTGATCATCTATCAGACCCCCTGAGTGTTGATCATCTATCAGACCCCCTGAGTGTTGATCATCTATCAGACCCCCTGAGTGTTGATCATCTATCAGACCCCCTGAGTGTTGATCATCTATCAGACCCCCTGAGTGTTGATCATCTATCAGACCCACTGAGTGTTGATCATCTATCAGACCCCCTGAGTGTTGATCATCTATCAGACCCCCTGAGTGTTGATCATCTATCAGACCCCCTGAGTGTTGATCATCTATCAGACCCCCTGAGTGTTGATCATCTATCAGATCCCCTGAGTGTTGATCATCTATCAGATCCCCTGAGTGTTGATCATCTATCAGATCCCCTGAGTGTTGATCATCTATCAGACCCCCTGAGTGTTGATCATCTATCAGATCCCCTGAGTTTTGAGCATCGATCAGATCCCCTGAGTTTTGAGCATCGGTCAGATCCCCTGAGTTTTGAGCATCGGTTAAACCCTCTGAGGACTCAATTTTTGCACCGTTTTCTTCGTAATTATCTTATTGTGCCTCCGCACCGTCCATTCGTTCCCAAAGTACCTTGACAACATCTAGCCTGGCTATACATCAATTTAGAACCAGAGAGTCTATCTTTCCCATTACACCTACATTTCCTCGAGAAAATATCCAAAGGGTGCTAACTACCCTGAACCTATGAAGCAGTGTGTCACTCTGTACAGAGCATACCTGTCTCCACCTCTTTCAACATGTTCTGTAAGTCACTGATGATCACAGCATGTGTGTGCTGTCAGTCCAGCAAAAGGCTGCAATAACTACTTCCACCTCAAACTAAATGTTATGGTATCATATGCCAGACTTTGTTGCACTAAGCCGTATCCATTCACTGTTACTATGAACCACTATAAACTTTTACCCCCCAGCACAGGGCCATCTGTATAGATATTCACATCACCTTGGTGAGAATTGTCAAGAATCATTTGTTGAACTTCTGATTCTGCAGCACTTTCTGACATGGATTGAGGAAAAGAGAAACCTGTTGTGCAACTACAACCTGTTTACAATGGAGAGCGTGTTACTAATTAACTGCAGGGTGCCCCAAAAAAACTGAGCATGGCATCTAGGATTTGATGTCAGTCTTTCTGGGTACATTCCTGGAAGAAAACCATTTGATGAGTGAAGCCAAACATATTGGGCTGGATTCCATCTTTGAAGTTACAAAGACTGCACAATTTAAAACAAAATAGAACCCTGAGTGATGTCTAAATGACACAACAGATATAGATAATGTTTCCACTTGTTTTTTCTTATAATAGAATTGGCCACTCCAAGCTGTGGTCTCAGTAACCTCTTTTATTGAAAGGAATGTTGACTTTTTGTTTTTGTTGACTTCTTCTAGTTGCAGCTTATAACAGTTTATTTGCTTCCTGTTGAGCATTCTCCATTGTTATTTCTGAATCAAAGTATTCAAAGTTTGTAACATTTTCAGTTT